TCAACGGAATTGACGAAAATTGCTTCATAAACAGCGTCAATAAGAATGTTCCAAAAAAGCCAATCGACAGCTAAACAAGAATCCGCCGCTGTCTTTTGGTAGAATCGATCTTCAAATCTCTTTAACAAACACTTTCACTCGAAATGTAAGTGAGCCTAACAAGTTGAAGGTAAACCTACCGAGAAAATGGCCCAAATGGTTTTTAAATCTAACATCTCAGCCCTTTGAAAGGGAATGGCCAAAACAGTCACTTTATATTTTCACATCCATTTTATTACTCAATTCCTGGTACGTAATTCTCAATTCATAAAATCTTCTGAGCGCCTACCCAGCGGCAGCAAGCATTAATGTTAGTTTCTAAATTAAAATTTTTTAGTTTATTATAGCATTAACAAATAAAGAGGTACCAACATACTTCTAAAAAGAACATATATATGTGCGACTCTACATCAACAGAAGCCTCAGTAAAATTAAATAATTTTTTTTTATTTAAAAAAAGTTCAATATTCGTGAATAGTTAGAATTGCATAGCTGCAGCTTCTAAGTTGCCGATCTAGCAGTATAAGAACGTGATCGAGTAAACTAAATTTCTTTAACACAATACAAAGCGCAAACATGTTTACTTAAATAAAATTCCTTTATAAATCTGTCTGAAACATATTGCCTCAGAGCGTGTATATAGAAATCTACAAGACCCATTAAAGTGAGTACGCCCAGGAAATGAGCTTAGTGTCGATTCAAATGAAATAGCTCAATTAATAATAACACAGTACGTGCCTGCAGATTTAATACTGCAAGGAATAATCTTTTAGTATGTGGAGACAGCCACTGTACCTTTAAAATCTTAGGAAATGTAATTAGTTTATTAAATCACTTCAAATAAACCAGAGGTAAAACGAGATTGAACTTATTCATTTTCCTGATAATTGGATCTAATAATTGATGTTTTTAGGATAATTAACTTTTAAATAATAAGGGTGTGATAACGACAGTGTGGAGTGTAAAGGCTTTTCATGAATGTCGCTCAAAGGAGCACACCACACTACATTAAAAATAAGCACGGTAAAAAATTGTGACAGGGAAGGCATGATAGGAGGATGTAGGAAATTTGAATAGCCCAATGCAGAAGGGGAGATACTACAACTGTTTCGCACACATTTGGTCAAAGGATAGGCTTTACTTGTCTCTTTGACGAGTTGTAGTGCGGTACTACGAATGGCAAGACTCACTGACGATGCCGACTACGATGCCTGAGAAATGTCTGGAAATATACCACATCCACGGTCCTACTCTGCAAATGATGATGCATACAATTGACTCTGGACTAGGTGCGTTCCTCTAAGTCTTCCTACCAATATAACCAAGTTGCGAAAACAAGGTCAAACAACATCTGTATAGATAATAGTTTCTTGTAAGTAGCTGAGGAGACGTGGCCACAATTGTTCAAAGCTTACCTATGCTAACAGTGGCCGAATTTGTGTTAGTGTAAATATGAGGTACAGTTAAAAATTTCAGGTATCACTGCTCTACTATATCTGAGTGCCAAACTTATATTACAAATCACAGAGAAGAAGTAATAGCTAAAAATTACTGAATGAAAACGTCAGACTAGATTCACGAAATAATTCTAAATCAAACTTTGGAGAAGTTGAAGTAAAGGTGATGTAAAATTAAACGATATCCTATAACAAATTTAAAATTAGCTAAAATAAATGATGTTTATAGACTAACATACACTACAATGCTCGTCCAAATATTATTTGCCTTAGTATGAAACCAAGCATGCTACATGCGAGTCTTAAGATTCATCATGGATTATGCAGTTTCGGTTCATGAGGCCTACGCAGGCTACTAATTTTGTAAATTAATTTAGTTAGTTAAACAAGTTGTGGTTTGTATAGATATTTATAATTCAACTTTCATGAAACTTCACAAAGTTTGAGAAAGAATAATGAAGCATAATTGAAAGTTAACTTGCCTAGCGATTGCTTAAAAGTTACAGTTACTAGGCTATTTAGCTAAGATTATCGAATTTACTTAATTCGTTTAATTTTATCTCGTTCATAAAAAAATAAGGATACGCAAACCGGAAAATGAAATCAAAAGAAAAGAATGCAATTAATTTACGAAGGAAGATAAGTTTCAGCTTAAGATCAAAGATAAAACTAGGAGTAGATGACATACTTGGGAAATTCAAAATTTGATTTTACTAGTCCCAAGTCCCCAGGTGTGGCGGAACATGCGATTCCAAGTAGGCAAGCTGACAAATCATCATCATCGTCATCGCCCTCCTCAATCACTTCCCTCGGCTCACTCTCCCCTTCTTCGACAGGATTTAACCTGGAGATAAGACAACTGCCAGAAGCCTCAGCAGATGACACAGGTACATTTCGCCCAATCTGCCTTTCATGTACTTGTCTCTCTTCCTCATCTTCATTCCCATCGCCTTCGTCATCTGCGTCCCCATCTTCTATATTACGATGAAAAGAAGCTACAGCAGCTATTGTAGATGAGTTAATATGCTGTATTGTTCGTATAGATGTGCTGCACTTCTTAGGTCTCGTTGTTTTGGCATTTTTCTTCTCTAAATCACAGACCTCATCGTTTTCGTAATCGTCATCATCGATTTCTTCATCATCATCTTGCGGTTCTTCTTGGTCCTCTCTATCATTGATA